AGTGCAGCAATGAATGAATGGAAATCCAAATTCTCTGTAAATGTTCATTAAAATTATTTTAAAAAATTTTAAAAAAAAAGCCAGAGACCTGACATGAGACAGTTACCCTTGGGGCTGCTACTCCGTGGAACCAGAGCTAAGTGCCTTTTGACCAATATTATTTTTTTTAAGGGGGAGAGATCCATAATTGGCAGGACTATGGGCTTTGTAATAATAGTTGGCTAAAGATTCAGGACTGAGGTGCTTGTGAGCACATTTCAGAAACTGTCCTGACTGTATCTACTACCAACCTGCATAATAGCTTTTGACTTCCCTAATAGAGTTGTGGTCTGTGAGCTATTACAATGGATTTTGGATGCAGTAAGTAAGATCAGTTTTCAGACAAGTAGAAAGAGGGGTGGGAACGTGGGAGATATGTCTGACCTCATGGAAACTGGTTTGTGTTGTTGATGTTGCTGTTGGGTACGGGTTCCCCTTATGGGGTTGGTAAAGGTCAGACATGCCATCTCCACGCAGCCCTTCCTCTTTTTACAAATAGGAATCCCAGAACACTTAATTATACTTATGTAAAACGTATATATAGACCAAGAAGCAGTTGTTTAAATACAACAAGTGAGCACTACATGGTTTAAAATCAAATAACATGGGAGCTCTGGTGGCCTAGTGGCAAGAAGCTGTACTGCAATCCCAAAGGTGTGTGGTTTGAATCCACCAAATGCTCTGCTGGATAAAGAGGGACAATCACTAGTCAGATCCAATTTGATGGTATACACACACAAAAATAAAAATAACATAATGTGTCAGGATTGTATCCTTTCTTTATGCTTATTCAATCTGTTTGCTCAGCAAATCATTCAAGAAGCTGAACTATATGAGGATGAGTGTGGAACCAGCTTTGGAAGAAGACTCATCAACAACCTACATTATGCAGGCGACGTAACCATGCTTTCAGAAAGTGAGGAAGACTTCAGGTACTTACTGAGGAAGGTCAGAGGTGCTAGTCTTCGACATGGATAACATGAAAACAAAACCCCTCACTAATGTGTCAAAAACATGGGACAGATGGAGAAAAGATCAAAGTTATCAATGATTCCATTTAATTTGGATCCAAAATCAGCCCTCAGGGTGGCAATAAAAAAGAAATCAAGATTCGTCAGTCACATTAGGAAAATCTGCTGGTAAGGACCTCTCCAAAGAGGTCCTAAGAACAAGGATATTAAAGTGTGCCTGATCCAAGCCATGATATTTTTAAGGACTTAATAGACATCTGGAAGGTGTACATTGAATAAGACAGGATAATTGATGCCTTTGAAGTGTGGTGTTGGAGAAGAGTACTGCGTATCTTATCGATGGACTGCCAGAACAAACAAGTCTTAAAAGTGCGACAAGGATGTTCCTTAGAGGCAAGGAGGTGAAACTCCATCTCACATACTCTGGACACGTTGTCAGGACAAGCCAGTCTTTGGAAAAACGCATGCTAGGAAAGGTGGAGATCATAGGGAGAAAGGAAAACCTTCAGCGGGATGGCTTGACACCATGACTGCAACAACAGGCTTGAGTATGCTGAAGACGGGTGATGGCACAGGGCAGGGTTCAGAGCCAATTTTCACAGCGTGGCTGTGAAAGGACATGGAGCAAGGACAACTGTCTGAGGGTCAGACCGAGGGAGCAGGGGGGTTATCAGGTCTTCAACATTTCACCATTCACCACAGGTGAATTGTTTTCAGTTTAAAGCAGACCCATGTGACAGGACAAGACTGTCCAGTGGTGTTTTCTAGGAAAGATTCTGGTGGCACTATCCAAAGGTTGGTGACTCAGGCTCGCTGATGGTGGCCTACACTGTGATGTGGGTGGCTACAAGTTGATACTGCCTCAGAGCATACATGGAAGATGGCCCCACAGCTTCTCCTCTGAAACTGCAGGAGGATTAAGTTCTGGTTAGCAAATGCGTGAGAACTTCAAAGGACTGACGTGTGTCCCTCACAAGTGTTATGTATGTATGCAATGATATGTGCAAACTGTGTGACTAGACCCCACCATCTGATAAAACCAGTAGTTATAAAGGTGCAACACAATTCTCATAATCCGAGTTCCCCAGAATGTGACATGATAAAAGTGGAAGCGAGCCAGCTACACAGGGGACCTCGGCACCAACAGTAGCTTTCAGGAGTGGAGTGCATCCTTTTGAACTCAGGTACCTGTACATCAGGGAAGTCACGTAGAATCCAGGGAACACTTGAGTTTGCAGACACTGAATCATTACGTTCCCCCAGTCCTTGAACACAGAGGACCTTGCCTTTGCCCTGGCAAGCTGGCATCCTGAACGTGGACTTCTAACAAAACTGGGGCAGACAAACTTTCTCTTTGTTTGAGCTGTCTACTTGAGGTATTTCTATTATAGCTGCTCTTGGCCAGCACCTTCTAAACTGAAACACAAAAATACTTGGTTTTTCATAATCTATAAAAATAATCTTCAGAGAATCTTGCAAACTTGGAGTGAAGCCATATTCACCTAATTTCAGTAATGTTTTTTTCTCTTAAAATGAAATGTCTTTAAAAGTGTTCAGACAACTTGGCAGCTATTTCTGTGTTTCAATAAGTCATCTCCACTAGAAATGGCTGGATTGTCCGTCCGCTCCCGATGTGGAAGTGCTTCTTGGTGGGTGTGATCTTTATCAAGGACCAGAGGCTTTCACAGGGCAGTCCAATCCACGCATTCGTGTTTTGAGGGGCTTCTGAGGCCAAGTGCCACGTCTCTCTGGCACCTGGTAAATGGACCGCTGGTAGGGGACCCCTTAGTGGTCTTGCTCCTGGCTGTCTATGAAAGGCTGTGGAGTGGCCTCTGTCCCTTTGCTTCCTCAGGGAGCTCTGGTGGCCTAGTGGCAAGAAGCTGTGCTGCAATCCCTAAGGCATATGGTTCGTGGCCACCAGCTGCTCCGTGGGAGAAGGATGAACAATCTCCCATGTGATTAACTGCCTCTGAAAACCCAATGGGGGGTCAACTATGAGTCAGTTCCAACTTGATGGTACACAACACATACAGTCGCTTCTTCAGGAACTGCAGCTAACCTGCCCCACCAGGCCAAGGAGAAAGACTGTTTGGGGGTGCCCAGCAGGGATGGAGGGAGTCGGATGTGTGGGGTCAGTCTGCAGACTTAACTGGTAGCTCTGGCCAGGATCAATCCTGTGTGGGCTCTGGCTGGGCCCCTTGGGACTCCTCCCAAGCCAGGTTCTCCTGCTCTCCAGTCTATTGCACGTGCCACTGGGCCCTTCATACCCTCCTCCACTGCTGCTGAGCCACTGTACTCCCTCTAGTGCAGGTCCCCTAAATGACCCTGCTGATTGGGGTACTCCGGGCTTCCACCCATTCAATGCTATAGACCCGCTGGTCCCTGAAGATACCCACATCCTACTCGCCAGAACCTGTGGACCAAGGTAACAGGTGGAACTGAGATTACTAACCAGCTGACCCCAATACAGGGAAATGGTGCTGGGTTACTGGGGGTCCGTGTTCACATGCAGGCCCTCAGGGGGGAAGCAGAGATGTTGGGCAGCAGAACCTCCATAGGAATCAGCCTGCTGACACCTAGGGCACCCAGCGTGGCCCATGTCAGGATCTCGGGGACTCAAGTCTGCTCACTGGTGTTGTTTAAAGCTCTACACGTGTGGTAATTTTTACAACACTCAGCTGTGACCCCAACACCACCTTCTAACTGGACCTTTACCCCTCACACAGTGTCACTGCCCACCCAAATGCAGGCTGCCCCTGAGATCCCTTTAAACACGAGAGTGACTGTGGGGACACAGCTGGAGGGGCCGGGCAGTTTCTGTATATGACCTGTGTTGTGAGTTCCTATGAGGTCAGCCTCACTAGGGGTTCCCCTTCCTCACAGCACCTCAGGGCCCAGGGCCTGCCTTCACCACCTAAAATCTAACCCGGATTGAATTTCCAAGGCTGTCATCTCGGGGAAAGCTGACTCCATTTTCTCCCTCAGAGTGGCTGGGGGGGGCTCCACCCACTTTCCAGGTAGTAGCTAAGCGTCTAACCACTGCATCACCAGCTTCCCCCACCCCAGAGAATAGGAGCTATAGTGTCGGGACACTGCTGGGGTCTCTAGTACTGGAGAGGACTTGGCAGCCAGCCAGGCCTGTGGATGTACAAAGGTGGGTTTGGATACTGATGCTGACCAGAGGGCTCTGAAGAGAGGGCCTGGTCCTCAAAGGGGGCCCCAGGGCTGGCAGCATGGATGCCCACAGTACCAACTCATCCCCCTAGCCCTCCCCTCCCTGCTTCCCCAACTCCAGACCTCCTAGGAGGCAGCCCTCCTGGGCATCCACAGACAGACTCTGCCTGCAGCCCCTCAATCTGGAGGCAAAGGGTTATGGCTGATGGGCCACATAGGGCCTTCTCACCAGCCTGCTTCCTCCAGAAAGGCCCAATCATCACTCAGCCCTCACTAAACACCCATGTGCCCAAAAGAGGCAGATCTCAAGTGTGAAACTCTGTGAGGAACCCTGGGGCTGGAGGTATGTGTGCCCAGTCAAATGGGAACACCCAGACTTGCCACCATCCGGGAGACCCTGTCCTGTGACGCTCATACCAGACAGGTATCCAATTAGCCCACGGGATCAGCCTCCCACACACAGCCCCTACCACTTCTGCAGGTCAAGTTTGTAGTAAAGGCAAGTTCTGAGCCCCAGGCCTGGAAGCCTGCATGCAAATCAAATCTCTTGGGGACCAGGCTCCCCAGTCACCTTACACCTCCAGTCTACGGTGGAGGCTGTGCCCTGGTGGCCTGGTGCTGGTCCAGCCTGTCCTGGCTGGCTCGCTGCCCTCCCCAATCCTCAATAGCATCCCTTGCTCCACTGCTGTGCCCAGAAAAGGTGCTGGAGAACAGACAGTGCGCTTAGCCAGACTTTTTAGGAGAGAGAAGACAGACCTTGAGGCCTGGACCTGGGCGGTGCAGAACTCAAGACACGTTCTGCCAGAAGGGTGTGCTTCAGATTATGAAGGTGTGAAAGGCATTCCTGGACTCAGCGGACCTTGGTGGGTGAGGGATGAGCACGTCCTTGTCCACGTCCTCGGACACCAGCTGAGACACCACCTGTGTGATGTCCTGTAGGGACTCCAGGTTCAGAAGAACAGGCATGTGAGTGCGCTGTGCAGGAGGAGGAGGGGAGGAGGTGGGGTGACTGTGGGGGAAGGGAGAGGTGCAGAAGGGTGAGGATGGGGAGGTGAGGAGGGGGTGGGGAGGGGTGAGGGAGGAGCAAGGAGAAAGAAGGGGAGAGGATCATTGTTGGTGCCCCAGGAGGGCCCCCCACGACCCCCAGTGCGCACCCTGCAGCCGGTGGGGGTCCCCGCTCCCAGCTTCCCCTGGGCACCCAGCACCGCCAGACGCCTGCGCTCCTCGATGCTCAGGCTCCAGCGACGGCCTGGGCCATGGAGCTCCGGCTGCTCGCACACCTGCAGGGACAGAGTAGGTGGCCCCAGGGCCAGGGCTCAGCCCACAGCCCAGGCCTAGGCCCCAGGGCAGGGTGCCTCAGGGTTCCACCGTCCCCTTGGACCAAGCTCCTGGTGGGACTTTAGGGTTCACCCTCTTTGGTCCTGTGAACTCGTGTTTCCTCCTTCCCCAGAAGCCTGACCTCAAGAACTGTGTACTGGGGGCCAGGGGTCTGCTCCATCTATGTCCTCAGCACAGACACTAAGGCCGCTGACCTGAGCCAAAGGTGTGGACACCACGTCTGCCCAGAACTGCCTCTACTCAGACTCAGGTTCTTGTCAACAGCATGACAGCAGGACTCAGCTCAGTGCAGTAGATGTCCTGTGTCCTTTACAATGACTGGCAGGATTTGAGCGGGTGTGTGGGAAGGAGAGTCATGTATCCATAACAATACTGAAGGGACAGCGATGGATAGTGGAGGCCAGCGGCTAACACCTCTGGATGCCGGAGTGGTGGGGAACCCCTGCTGGCCAGGCCACAGCGGTTATTTCCGCCCTGACAAAGTCCAGACTTGGGTCCATTCTACCATGTTCCCACCCAGGAGACAGGTGTGTCCTAGGGGGAATGGAAGACAGGTAAATATAGTATGAAATATGGGATTAAGACAGACTCAAATCAAAACCCCTACCTTCCTTGCCTCCATCTCCCCCAGGAGAGGAGAAGGATTTTTTCTGGGGTGAGGCCAGCTCCTAGAATAACTGGAGTGCACACAGTCCCACCTAGGCACAGAGTCCGCATTCCCTCCCTTTCAAACAGATTACGGGGTTTCCAGCATCTAAGAGAAATTCTGGTGAGCCCAGCTACCACACACCTCCAACACCAAGAGAAACTCAGAAGTTCTAGCAGAAGCAGAACCAGCCCTCTCAGAACTCCTCTCACATGCTTGGTGTAGCCAGGAAGGGAAGGAGTGGCAGAGGAAAGGTTATCAGAGAACAAGAATGGCCTCCTAGAAGGTGTGGAGACATTTGTTCCTAATTTGTTAATATTTTCTGTAACAGAATTACACATGCCCATTAACAGAAGATTTGGGTCCATTTTCCTCAGCAAATCAATATTGGCTCCTAATATAGGATTGGAATCAAAGTGTATGGTCTCACACAGAAATAAGGACTAAACAAGGAACTCATGCAATATTATTCAAAATGGTTGACTCTGGAGAACATTATGCTGAGTGAAATATCCCAGTCACAAAAGGACAAATATTACATGATGCCACTGTTGTAGAATGGGACTGTCCTTGGGGTTGGGGAGAGACTGAGTAAGATGGGTTCAATGATGTGTGCTGCACTGAGGCGGAGGAGGGAGGGAACTGTTTAAAAGAGATATATAACTGGGTGTTTCTGTCATCACAGGAGTCTAGAGCGAGGGCTGCATGGTGGAGGGGACCTGGGGGGGGGTTTGTGGAACAATGAAAGAATCTTTTCTTTTACTTTTCCATAATTTTTGACTCATGTACTTATAACTTGTTAGTCAAATTTGTGTCTTCTAGGTTGCAACACCCCCACGATACATCTTCAAGGATATGAACATGTATGGCCAAGCACAATCAATAAGAGTGCATCTAAATTCCAAAATCAATCTCCATAATAGTCTATGTGTTTCCTACTGCCAAAGGGGCCCTTTAGAGTAGTGAGAGAAGATCTTCACCCTGAAACCCACAGCGTCCCTTTTCAGCAGGAAGTAGCTAAGAGAATATGCCATCCCCTTTTCCTTATGACTCAGGGTGAAGTCTCTCTCAGGGAGGAGTGATAGGGAATGGCAAAGGACACACTGACAAAGAGGATTAATCAGAACTGGCTTTGACAAGCACTGTGGCATTTGGACAAGAACAAACTGGGAGGAGGGTAGAGAGAATGGTGCAGCGGTGAATGAATGGAAACCCAAAATCTCTGTAAATGTTTATGAAAATTAATAAAATATAATTATAGAAAAAAAAACTAAAAAAAAAAAGAAATAAGGACTAAAGCTAAAAGGAAATTGATAAGAGACATGCGAGAATGAGAGGTTCAGTCTTGCAAGTTTAACATGAACTGATGAGAATTTCAAAGAACTGAGATAAAGCTCAATTGCATACACAGACACAGCGGTCACAAACCCAGGCACATGCACTCACAGACACCAACAGAAACATAGACATATATGCTCATACACACCTCTCAAAGTAGAACACACACTCCCAGGTAGAACTGCTTCCATGGGACAAAGAGTCCTCTCTTCAAAACCCTTCACTGTGACAATTCACATTGACAAGAGGAGGAAGACCCTAAAAACTTTCTGAGAGAAAAAAGAAACCCCAGAATAAGAATCTGGGTGGTCTTGGACTTCATACAACAGCAGCACTGGAACTGTTGTTGTTATGTGTCATGGAGCCTCTTGTAACTCATAGTGACAACAGCTCTGAACTCTGCCCTGTCCTGAGCCAGTCTCAGTGAATCTGACACACCTACTTCCATTACCCCAGTCCCTGAGTGAGTCCATCTCATCAAGGGTCTTCTTCTCTTGCACTATCCCTCCACCCTCCCAAACATGATGTCCCTCTCCAAGGACTGGTCCCTCCTTGCAATATGCCTGAAGTATGTCAGATGAAGCTTGAAATTCCTTGCTTCCAAAGAAGCAGCCTTGTTTCACTCTCTCCAGGATGAACCTGTTTGTTCTCCTAATGGTCCATGATATATTGAATAATCTTCTCCGGCACCACAGCTCAAAGGCATCAATTCTTCTATCATCCTTAGTAATTTTCCAGTTCTCTGATGCATAGCAAGTAATTACAAAGACCATGGTCTGGATCAGGCATATCTTAGTCTCGAGAGTGACATAGTTGCTCTGCAGTACTTTGAAGATGTCTCTGACAGCAGATTTCCCCCGTGCAGTTTGTCTTTTGATTTCCTGGCTATAGGTACCAAGAGTGTTGATCATGGAGCCAAGCAAGCTGAAGCTGTTAACAATCTCAATCTCTTCACCATCCGTCATGATGCTACCAATTGGCCTAGTGGTAAGAATTTCGTTTTCTTGATGTTGAGCTTCAATCCATACTGAAGGCTGCAGTCCTTGACATTCTGAGGCAAATGCCTCAGATCTGCCTCAGTTTCATCAAGCAGGGTTGAATCATCTGCGTAATGTAGGTTGTTGATGAGTCTTCCTCCAATACTGATACCACACTCTTCCTCACAGAGTCCAGCCTCCTGGATGATCTGTTCCACACACAGATTGAAAAGGTATGGAGATAGGATGCATATACCTTTTCTGATTTTAAACCATGCAGTATTGCTTTATTCTGATGACTGCCTTCTGGTCCAAGGACAGGTTTTGCATAAGCACAATCGAGTGTTCTGGGATTCTCATTCTTCCCAAAGCTAGCCATAGTTTGTTGTGATCCACACAGTCAAATGCCCTTTGCATAGTCAAGGAAACACAGATAGACATTCCGCTGGTAATGTCTCCTTTCAGCTAAGATCCAGCTAACACTGGCTATAATATCCCTAGTGCCACAGCCTCTTCTTTTTTTTTTTCTTTTCTTTTTTTTTTCTTTCTATAATTATATTTTATTAATTTTCATAAACATTTACAGAGATTTTGGGCTTCCACTCATTCATTGTTGCACTATTCTCTCTACCCTCCTCCCAGTTTGTTCTTGTCCAAATGCCACAGTGCTTGTCAAAGCCAGTTCTGATTAATCTCCTTTGTCGGTGTGTCCTTTGCCATTCCCTATCACTCCTCCCTGAGAGAGACTTCACCCTGAGTCATAAGGAAAAGGGGATGGCGTATTCTCTTAGCTACTTCCTGCTGAAAAGGGACGCTGTGGGTTTCAGGGTGAAGATCTTCTCTCACTACTCTAAAGGGCCCCTTTGGCAGTAGGAAACACATAGACTATTATGGAGATTGATTTTGGAATTCAGATGCACTCTTATTGATTGTGCTTGGCTGTACATGTACATATCCTTCAAGATGTATCATGGGGGTGTTGCAACCTAGAAGACACAAATTTGACTAACAAGTTATAAGTACATGAGTCCAAATATTATGGAAAAGTAAAAGAAAAGATTCTTTCATTGTTTTACAAACACTCCCCCAGGTCCCCTCCACCATGCAGCCCTCGCTCTAGTCTCCTGTGATGACAGAAATACCCAGTTACATCTCTCTTTTAGACGGTTCTCTCCCTCCTCTGTTTCAGTGCAGTATACATTATTGAACCCATCTTACTCAGTCTCTCCCCAACCCCAAGGACAGTCCCATTCTACAACAGTGGCATCATGTAATATTTGTCCTTTTGTGACTGGGATATTTCACTCAGCATAATGTTCTCCAGAGTCAACCATTTTGAATAATATTGCATGAGTTCCTTGTTTTTTAATGCAGCATAGTATTCCATTGTGCGAATATACCACAGCTTCTCTAGCCATTCGTTTGTTGATGGGCACTTAGGTTGTTTCCAACTCCTTGCTGCCACAGCCTCTTCTAAACCCAGAACAGGCTGGTAGTTCTACATCTGGTAGTTCTCTTTTGATGTGCTATTTAATCATTTTTTAAATAATGTTCAGCAGAATCTTACTTTCATGTGATATTAATGATACTGTCTGATAATTTCCACATTCTATTTGGTCACCTTTTTTTTTTGGAATGGGAACAAATATAGATCTCTTTCAGCCAGTTGGCCAGGTGGTCATCCTCCAGATTTCTTGGCACAACTTGGTGAGCACATCCAAGGCAGCATTTGATTGTGGATCAGACCGTCAGCTACTTGTATGCAAGGTTAAACTAAAGCTAAAGAAGGTTAAATCAAACCTACTATTAATACTTAGTTTTAAATCAATCCTAAGAAATTATTTAGGTAGTATTAGAGCTTTTCTAAGGCATTCTGCTGTCGCTGGGTACCACTGAGCTGGAACAGACTCAGCTGACCCTCTAGCAGGTTTTCAGAGGCAGTTAATTACATGGGAGGAGACTGTCCATCATTCTGCCATGGAGCATATGGTGGTCTCAAACCGTGTGCCTTCAGGATCACAGTGCAGCTTCTTGCCACTAAGCCATCAGAACTCCACAGAAGTAGCTATATTGCCATATGAAATTAGGGCTAAATTAAGAAAATGTATAATAAATACTTTGTTGTATCTATAAATCATGAAGGGCTTAAAAATGAGATCCTAAACTATGTGAGAGAGAATTATCCAAGAAGCTGGGCTCTATGAAGAGGAGTGTGGTTTCAGGATTGTAGGAAGACTCATTAATAGCTTGCATTATGCAGAGGACATAACCTTGCTTGCTGAAATGTGGAGGACTTGACACACGTTGCAGAAGATCAAACACTGCAACCTTCAGTACGGATTGCATCTCAATGTCAAGAAACAAAGATTCTTACTACTGGACCTACAGGCAATGTCATGATGAATGGAGAGGAGACTGAAACTGTCAACAGCTTCGTCTTACTTGGATCTGTAATTAACACCCTTGGTACCAGCAGTCAGGAAATAAGGAGATGCATTGCACTGGGGAAATGTGCTCTTAGGGACCTTCCCAAAAGTTTTAGGTATGTCTGATTCAGGCCATAGTCTTTATGATCACTTGTTAAGCATCTGAGAACTGGACAGTGAATAAGGACAACTGAAGAATTGATGCCTTTGAGCTGTGGTGTTGGAGAAGAGCACTGAACATCACATGGACGGCCTAGAGAACAAACAGATATGTCTTGGAGAGGATGCAGCCGGAGTGCTCTCTGAAGGAAAAGAATGATGTGGCTTGACCTCACATCCTTTGGACATGTTGCTAGGAAGGGTTATTCCTTGGGACATGGTGCTGGGAAGGGTGGAGGTTGGCAAAGGAGAGGAAGATCCTCAACCAGGTGGACTGACACGGTGACTGCCGCAATGGGCACTTCAGTATGAGGAAATGGAGCCAAGCAAGCTGAAGCTGTTAACAATCTCAATCTCTTCACCGTCTATCATGATGTTGCCAATTGGCCCAGTGGTGAGAATCTTTGTTTTCTTGATGTTGGGCTTCAATCCATACTGAAGGCTGCAGTCCTTGATTACAGCTTTATTTTTCCTAGCTATGTAAATCAGTAGAAGTACGTGACAGGTTGTATTCTTTCTCCATGGCTAGTCTGTATAATAAGCAAATAATTTAAGAAGGTGGATGATACGAAGAATGTAGCATTAGAATCGGAGACCCATCAACAGCCTGTGATATGTGGATGACCTACAGCCTTGCTCATTTACTCACTATAGATTTACTTCACTAAAGCTTACCTCAACATAAAGACAAAAATCCTTAACATGAAGGAAAGGAAAATCCTCACAACTGGATCAATAAATGTCACCACAATAAATGGAGAAAAGATTTAAGTTGTCGAAGGTTTAGTTTTTCTCAGCTCCATCAACACCCATGAAAGGAGCAGTCAAGTAATCAAATTATAAAAGAAATCTAATTATGTATTTCATCAGGTAAATCTGCTGCAGAAGACCTCCTTAAAGGTGCAAAAGGGAAAAGCTGTCACTTTAAAGACTAGGCTGTGCCTGACACAAACCATGGTATTTTCAAATGTCTATGTGCACATTAAAGTTATGGAAGTTGGAGAATCTCTGAGGTGTGGTGTTGGTAAAGTTGTTAGGTGTCATCAAATGACCTATGACTCATTGTGACCCTCTGACTAACACAGCTGGACCCTGTCCTATCTTCTACAACTTGAGATCTTGGACATGCTCAAGCGCACTGTTATAGTCACGATGTCACCCCTTCTTGTTGAGGGGTGCGCACAGAGTATTGAACAGACTGCGGTCTGCCAACAGCATCAACAGATGTGTCTTGGAGAAAGTGCAGTTTGTATGCTCCTGAGAAGCAAGGATGATAAAACTTTATTTTGCCTACTTTGGCTGTCATCGTGGAAGGGGCTGGCCTTTGAAAAAGGACATCATGGTTGGTAGAGAGTGACAAAGACTCTAGACGAGACAGATTGAGATTGTGTCTCCAACACCAGGCTCATACACACTGACTGCAAAGAGGGCTCAGGGGCAGGCAGATGCATGGTCACCAAGCGAAGGACGACTTGATGGTACCTAATGCTCTCTGCCTCAGTGGTCATGTAATTTGTCATCCAGGTGTCTGTTCTGTTGTTCAGGGACCACTGAAAGATATGCACAGAGATGGCATGCTGCCAGAGCCGAAGCCATTGGGCTTTTTGGTCTGTATTTCCTCACAGACTTCAGCTAACTGATTTGAAAGCAACTTTTTGATGTTTTTTACACTATGATCATGCAGGGTCCTAGCCCCCAACTTCTCTTGTCCAAGTTTCCCATAATCTGCTGCGAGTGTTTGAAAGCTTTTCTCCAACGCTATTGTTGTCATGTGTTTTTGAGTCAGAACTAACTCACAGCTGACCCTCCACTGGGTTTCCAGAGGCGGTAAATTACATGGGAGGAGACTGCCCAGCTTTCTCCTAAGGAGAAGCTGGTGAGTCGAACCAGGTGTCTTCGTATTGTTCTGTCTGCTTCTGTTGCCAGATGTAAACTGGTCTTTTCCACTCATGGATCTTCTAATGTTTGCAGTTTCTACAGACGAAGGCTACCGATTACTGGAATTTGGCTTGTACCTAACCTATGACTGGCTCTCGGTCGCCTTTTGTGTTGATCAAGTGATACACAATCAGCTTGGCAGTTCTTCACCCACTCTTGCCCAGGACACCCCTGGCACACTTCTGTCCAGCCTGGAATGGCTATGCACTGCTGCTGCCACCTTCTCTGGATGAGTCCTCCTTGGTGAAAAAGGTTCAAGAATCTACTATCTTTACAGTTAGTTTATATTTGAAGGTAAGCCCCCAGTGCGTGTCTGCCATTCTTATGGCCCCTCCTCTCCTACACTGTCTTGCCTTTTACAAACTCTCTGTGACCACATCACTGGGTGAGTGGGATGTCTGTCTTCCCCTTCCTCTTCTGTGGATGCTCTAGGTCCTCTTAGGTTTCCTGTGGTCAGCCCCTTATGCAGAACACCTGGCCCTGGGTGAACATGGAGGTGACCCCAGCACTGGTGAGGTTCAGGCTGGGATGCATGAAGGAGATGTGGCATCTATCCCCAGCATGTGATACCCTCAGGCTGCCTTTTAGATGTAAAGGACTGAGAGGCCCAGGGGAATGTGGGCTCTTTTTCCTCTCTAACTCCACGGTGCCCTCCAGGAATAGGGCGCTGTTTTAGATGAAGCTGAACCTGGGGTATCTGCCCTTGGGGCTCCATGGGATTATGGGTGTCACATGTCCTTCAGCTCCCAGGCTCAAGATAGCCCCTTTGCAGAGCCAGTTCTTGGAGCGTCCAGAGAATGTATACCCTCTGCTTACCCAGTCCTGAGTCTGCAGTCCCTGCTGGACACCGCTTTGTGTGCTAGGCTGGTTCCAGGTGGCTGCTGGTGCCCCCTGGGTCAAGGGCTGCTTGTGTTCTGGGGGGCACAAGGTCTCTGGCTTCTTCCCCAGGGAGACCTTCCACCGGTGCTGCGTGGAATCCATCTTCAGCCCACACAGGCTACTGGCTAGCCCTGGGGCTCTGAGGGAGGACGGGGGAAGGTGGGTGGTCCAAGGTCATGCAGGTCCTAGATGGTGGCCATCCACTGCTGGGCAGCCTCAGGCCAGATGCCACTTTCCCCCACAGGGCCCCCAAACCGCTGCAGATCCACTGCGCCTCAGAACCTGGCCCCTCGCCCTGAGGCCTTCTGTCCCTAGTTCTAAGGCCACCCAATCTTCATCCAGCCTAAGTCTGAACACCCCGTCTGGCGCAGGGTCGGGGTCGGGGTCGGGGTCGGGGTCAGGTCCCGGAGGGTGAGAGCATCTGAGAAGTGGGTGAGTTTTAGAAGAGGCTGGGGGCTCTACTGCTGGTTCTGACGCTCGCCTCCCCGCGGCCCAGACCACACCCCAAAGTGGCCTCCTCAACACCAGTGGACCGAGAGACGGGAGTGGACGCTGCCCCTGCAGACCTGGAGGAGCCTGCACTGCCCCGCAGTGCTGAGTGGCCCCTCGCAGGGCAGGGACTCCCTAGAGGGCCTCCCGGGGTCCCTGCATCGACCCGGGGGCACAGAGGAGGCTGTGGACAGGAGCCAGGGCAGGCCTTGGGGGACCCGGGCTCCGGGGCCTGCGAAACCAGCAAGGGACGGGGACTCGCCGGCCGGGGGTCCACTGTGGCTTCGCGGGGTTTCCAGACGGGTAAGGGTGGGCAGTGACCCTCCGTCTCGGAGGCGTAGGGGTAGAGGGGCCGAGGGGTCAGCCCGGCTCAGGGCCCGCAACGGCCCGGGAGGCCCTTACCCACTTCCGGTCGGCGCCGCGCCTGCGCTCTGGCCTCCGGCCGGCAGGGGGCGCAGCACGAACACGTCCCGGCCCCTCCTCCCTCCCCCCGCCGGCGCCCCTCCCCCCAGCCGGTGACCCCTGGTGTCGCCTCGCCCTCCCCCCGGGCTGGTGGCCCCTTGCCCTTCTCCGCTCCTCACGGGGCTTGGGACCCCCTTCCCGCGGCCCTGGGCCTCATCCCCTCTGCTCGGGACCCCCGGCCTCGCCCTGTCCCTCGGGGGACACCCCCGGCCTCGCCCTCTGTCCCTCGGGGGACACCCCCGGCCTCGCCCTGTCCCTCGGGGGACACCCCTCCCGCCTCGTCCCCTCCGGCCCTCGGGACCCCCAGGTGTGGGGTCACGCAGGAATCACGCAGCAGCCGAGGATGAGCCCCGGCTCTCAGGTTTATTAGTGTCGCATCAGCACCTTAAAATAGTCCACATGGTCACAGATGTGACAGATTAGAATCTGTTCCCCAAAAAGGTTATTTACATTAATCCTCTTTTCCATTAAAAAAGCAAAAAAAAAAAACAAAACAAAAAAACCAAAAAACCTAGCAACACAACTAGAAACCTGACGCACGCAGCGCAGGGAGGGGTCCGCAGTCCAAGCGGGGGTCTCACAGGAGCCAGCTCGCAGGCAGAGGCCCAGGGCTGCCCGCTGGGACCCCAGTGGCTGTGCAGCAGCCCCTCCTCCGGGCTGGTCCACTGAGCACCCGCTCTGCTGCCCGCTGCCCCGGGCCCCTCCACGCACTGCCCGGCTGCTCTGCGGCTCGGCCACTGGCTGTTTGGGTTTCTATGTCATCTTTCTTCGAGGGGACAAAGTGCTTTTCTGTGTATCCTCAGAACAGCTCCATGAGGTAGGCAGGGGGCGTGTTGCCATCCCTTTCACTGATGGGAAACCGAGGCACAGAGGGGTGAGCAGTGACGGGGTACAGCCCGGGTGGCGCCCCCAGCTCGGGGCATGGTGGGTGGACCGGAGGCCCTTGCTCAGTGGAGGGGGCACTCAGAAGCAGGGCAAGGTCAGGAAGCAGAGCTGGTCTGAGTGTGAGAAGCCCCGGCCATGGACACAGTGACCAGTACCCTCAAGCGGGCCTTCTCAGGTGCCTGGGGCATGGTGAGGGAGGCAGAGGTGTGTTAAAGAGGGGCTTTTAAAGGCCCCACGGCTCAGTGTCTGGCTCTAAATCCTGGCCTCCAGGTAGCTTCAAAGACATAGCCACCAACAGAGATTACCCGAGCCCCCCAGCATTGTGGCTCCTCCCTCAGGGGTGACTCCCCAGGTCCTGCTTTGAGATGGCTGGCCACCCCCACCTCACAATTCTGCACACACCTGAGAGCAGGATTCCAGAGCCAGGTGGAGTGGAGGGGGAGGCAAGCAGGTGTCCCAAGGGAGAGGAAAGGAGCATCCCTGCCCCCAGGATGCTGGCAGGAGGGCTGGGGCTGAGCTCTGCACGGTGGGAGTGGTCACACCCACCCTGCATTTGGCACTGTTTTCCAGTCACACCCTCATGGCAGGAAACCAAGGCCTGAGCTCCAGGAGAGGGCCTGCTCCATCCCAGGGAGGGCCGGTAGGGTGGGCTCTTCACCTGGGGATCCCACGACCCCATCACAGGAAATCCATTCTAGGTACTGCAAGCCTGCCCCCAACAGGCTGGCACTTCCAGCTGGTCCTGCCTGAGCCTTAACTGACCATGTGACTGTGCAGAGGAGACACACAACCTGGCATCTGCCTCCACTTTCATCACAATCTCAAATCTCAACTTGGGCACCTGGGTCAGTCCTGGATGGCTAACTGCCAGCATAGGGTGGACTAGCAGGGTACGAGTAGTGCCCAGTGGGAGGAAGGCGGATACACACCCTGCCAACCCCAGCAGCATCTAAGTGCCCAGGTGCTCAGGGTGGCATCTGGGGTCCCGTGAGGCTACAAGGGTTTCTCCCACACTCAGTGGCCCCTGCCTGAGGAGTGCAGCCGCACGGGCACGTAGGAGTAGCAGTGCTTTTCCACAACAGTTCAAGGATGTGGGAAGGTCTTGATGGGGCGTGTGGTTGCAGGCAGACAGTAGGGGCATAGAGGCCCTGGCCCCAGTGGGCACTGGACATCAGAAGAGCAACATCTGTTTGGCAGCTATACTATCACATGTACTTAAAAGCATTAAAAATGTCTGCCACTATAAAACCACCAATGCCTTGAGGACCACACTTGAGGAGGGTCTTAGACATAAGGGGGCCCGTGGGGCACGGGCAGGGCTGGGACTGCCCCCTCTAGGCTCTACCTCAGCATTCTCTCCAACTCGGCCCAGTAGCACCTGCAGCTTCTCTAGCCAAGGGATCCTTGGCTTCTGGCCACCATGTCCTTGTGGCCTGTAGGAACAGGCCCCTCCCCTGTGCAGACAGGTGAGCTCTTGCTCAGTGTACGGCCCTCACCTGTGCAGAGGAGCATCCACCCTCCTGCACCGTGGCTACCTGAGAAAGCAGAGGCCTGTGTCATGGAGGAAGGGTGCCAAGCTGAGAACCCTTCCTGCTGTGGGTAGGAGCAAGGAGACAAAGCCCCCTCTCCCGCGTCTCCCAGCACCCCCACGGACATTCTGGTTAATAAGCAGAGTAGTAGTGCTCCCTGCAGAGGAGCGTCCGTTAGTGTCCAGCTTGTAAGTACATTCATACGTAAGACTGCTCTGTTGAAGCATCTGTCTGTGTAGTAAACTGAAATGTTAACAGAAAAGCAGCTGGCAGCTGGCTACGTGGCCTCTCGGGCTGCCCGCATGGCTGCCCGCTCTGTCCCTGCTTGGCTCCCTGCTGGCTGGCTCGTCAGGCTGGTGGGAGCTAGAAGGCCGGCTTGGAGTGTCCAAATATGCAGATAGGGAAGTGCTTCACATGGGATGACCACTGGGCGGCCAGCTGGAAGAACTTGACATCGTTCCACTCTACCCCATCGATGAGAACTGTGGATGAGAGCACCCTGAGCTGTTGGCTGACCAAAGGGTGAGGTGCAAGAGGAGCCCTCCTTGGGGACAGACTGAACCCTTGGGCAGCCACTCCCAGGCAGCACAGGCCCAAGGGGGGCCCTCTGAACTCAGCCAACATCTTAGCATGGCTGCAGAGCGAGTGAGAGTGGCCAGTGGGTGGTGGACCAGGTCCTCCAGGTCACACTGCCTCCTGGGTGCTGGAGGCACAGAAGGTTAAGTTCCCTGACTGGGGCTCAAGCAAACGGGGGCCAAGGAGAGCCCAAAGCAACCAACTACACCCCCTCCTCAAAAGCAGAATGGGTGGGGGATCTTCTTGGAATCTGAAGTATCATATGCAGCTAAGTATTTTATATAAAAGTGTACAAAGAAGGTTATATAACATACATTTCATGGAAAATCAAGTGGTTAAAATAGTAAAGTGTAACCTCAATGTTCAAACTGGCTTAATTTTCCCTTTTCATGGGCAAATCCAATGGGCCTCTTCTCATGTCCTACAGCCCAGAGATATGCGATTGGGCTGTATCCCGGTGCCAAGGACATCAAGAAGAGTGACCTCTCTCTTTGTCCATTTAGTGAAGCACTGTCCTTCCACCTCTCAGCTTTTCAAAGCTGTCCTGTGGCCACGCCCACTCCCAGGTGTTCCCGCCCCTATATGTGGCTCCCACCCACCCAGACCTGCCCACTCCCAGGTGGCCCCTCTCCTCCCAGGTAATCCCACCCCTACCCGTGGTTCCTCCATCCAGTCCCACCCCCTCCCTCATGTGGCCCCGCCCCCATGGGTCCCCGCTGCACTCGCCCCCAGCCTCACCCGCCCCCCCAACGCCCACTCACCCCGCAGCATGTTCTGCTGGTGTTTGGCGGTGCAGATGAGGCGGCTGATGCCCTCGATGCACTGGCTTTTGGACTCCACATCCTTGTCCTTGGTTTTCTTGGGTAAGAACATCACTGGGGGGAAGAGGCCTCGCTGTGCTGTCATCTTCAGGGAAGGATCCCCGCAGCCCCCCATCTCGTGGTGCTGCGGGCACTGTCACATCTCCTGGTGCACAGGGACCCATTGCCACCCCCCTCCCGGCCTGCCCCCCACCTCACCCTTCTTGTTCTTCTCCTTGGTGACTACGGTCATGGACATGGTGGGCGTGGCCGTGGCCTCGCTGCCACTGGGGAGCCTGCTGACCTGGAGGGACCGGAAAGTGCACTTGAGCGTGTTTTTGGCGGCTGGCAGGTCCTTCTTGTCCGTGTCTCTTTTCTTGTCTGCAGACTGCGTGCTTGTCCAGTAGTCCACCTGCAGCCCCATCAGCTCGGCCCCGATACCCTGGCTGTGGAAAGATGGGGGTGCTTACAATGATGAGGTGACAAGCCTGCCCGCAATCCCTTGTCCTCTGGTACATTTAGGCAACTGCCCACTGTCCTTGCTCGATAAGACATAGGGGACCTAAAGTCCACACATGATCCCCATAACGCTAAGGGGCCTACAGGCCACCTCCAGGAGACTGGCCAGACAAAGCAGCTTTCCTCGGGTGGGGGAGGCCTGGGGGCAGAGTTCAGTTCTAAGACTCCACCCAGCAGTAGTCCTGCTCTGGTCCAGCTTCATTGAGCCCAGCCTCAGTGAGGACAGTGGTTGTGCACGCATCCCCAGAAGGTGGCAGCTCCTGGAGTGGGGCCTCGCAGCCAGGATACCTTGGCGAAGACAGACTGCTGCTCACGGATGGGGATGAGGGTGGGGTGGGCGAGGCCTCCTTGGCAACAGGAGACATGGACGGTGGCGTGGAGGAGAGCAGGCTGGCACTGGACGGGGCTGCGTCGTCTGAGTCACCTTAGGGGAAAATTCAGGGCAAGAGTGAGCCCTTCCCCAGGGCTCTGCCTCAAGGCAGCCACAGGGTCATGAGGGCAGCAGCGGGGTGAGGGAATGGGGTGCCCAGGAGGCACTGATGGCCCTGCTTGTGGCTGACACAGCCCTCCCTGCTTAACAAGCTCACAAGTCCTTTCTGAGAGTCATGCAGCAGGCTTCCCTGCTCCCCCTGCCCTTACCTAGCTGGGCTCAGGGACAGGGCATCCTGCAGGAAGCCAGGTATCCCTCGGGCTCAGGGTCCCTCCCGCCCAGACAAGGTGAAGAGGGATGGTCACCTGACGTAGCAGAGGATGGTTCCACTATGCCAACCTTCACAACCTAGAAAGCAACATACAGCTGACTGGGCAGGAGTGGCGGCTGCGGGCCCCTAAGATGCCAGCTTTTTCTGGCCCTGACAGCCGTAACAGCACAGCCATGAATTAAGCCCTGGGCTCTGGCCCCTGCCTGTGGAGGACATCTGAGCCCAGGGTAGCACTCATTGTTTGTCAGAGGGCATGCTCAGGAAGGCCTTGGCACACATGAGGCATGTTCCTCGGCTACCTTTTTATTCACGGGACACAGACCTGTGTCCAGGATGCGCCCAGCTCTGAAGAAACACAGTCTACAAAAGGGAGATAGATGCCTCAGAAGCACCATGGCGGTACCCTCACCCCACAAGACTCTAGTCCCAGGAAAACTTCAAAGCCTCTGACAACCCAGAGGTGAGAGAGCTAGGGGTACCTGTAGCCCAGCGTGGGGACCCCAGGAAACTATCTTGACATGCTACTGGAGGCAAGTACCATGGGCTGATGGGGCGATTTCTAGATCTGTGTTGTCCAACAGTTGAGTGCGGCCAAGTATTAAGAGTCCCACGTGGTTAGTGGTGGCCACAGGAGACACCACAAATCTCTGTCACCTTGAGAAGTTCTAGGCACACTGCTGCTCCAAATGCATGCACGCCCTTCAAGGATTCCACAGCACTGCCTCAGACCCTTGCTGAATGACACACCCCTAGTCTGGAGCCCAGAGGGGAAACTGAGGTGCAGAAGCCCCACCTGCCAGGCCAGGCTCCCTGGTCTCACCACAGTCACTGGAATTCATGAGAAGCTCCCATGGTGGGGTCCTCAGAAGTGATGACAAGGTGAAGGGAGGCATGGGAGCCTGGTAAACACACTCACATTGACAGTCCCCCTGTCATTGATGTCCAGCAGTCTCTGGGCTGTGGAGCCGGTTTATGCACTTGGCCGTGAACTAAAGGCTGCAGGTTTGGGTCCACTAAGCGGTGCCTCAGGAGGCAGGCCTGGAGACCCACTGAAATCTGGAGATGGTCTGCCCAGGCACTCAGAGTTACTCACAGGGGTCAGCACCAAGTCCACCCACTGGGCCTGGGAACTTCGTCCTTTGTCAGCATCGTGTGACACCTATCCCAACACTCAAGGCAGGGCTCTGAGAGGTGGGCAGGGGACTAGGTCTCAGGACACCCACCCCGGGACAGTCAGCACTCAAAGCAAACCGAGAACCCACAAGCCTAGGCCAGCCCCAGTCAAACATGAGGAGGACTGAAATGTCAGATGGGAAGATTAAAAGCATCGCTCACATTTGTGGGGAAGGGTCTGAAATATATGAACTTGACCCCAATGAATTTGGTAAGCTGCCATTTACCATGCAGATAAAGCCGTTCCAATAGCAGGAACACGAGCACAGCCCAGTCCAACCTCCACATGCAAGAAGTACTTACCCCGACGAAGGGGATGAACTTTTGGGAGGACTCCTCATCAGGGCTGGAGAAGGAAAGCAGTCAGTCAGCGCTCTCCTCTAGCACAGGCCGGTGCGCACCTCCTCCCAGAGCCTCGCCAGCCCCCGTCCCTCCACTTCCCCACGGTGTGCCCTGGCCTGCTTCGGTCTCCCTTCCTGGCCAGGAAGGGTGAGATGTCAAGGTCAACTTCTCTGTGGTTGAGACCAGCTGTGGGCATGTGTGCAGGAGCATGGGGCTGTTGGGGACTGGCAGGGTAACTGGGGGACAGAGGGTGATTTGGATGGAAAGGGGTTTGCTCTCCCAGTCCAGGTGCTACTGGCACTCCTCTGAGGCCCTTCTACTGGCCCCAGATGGCACTATCAGGCATAACATCACGCATTCCCCTCAGATCTGGCCCTCAAAGAGTGTCTTAAGGCTGACCCAGCCCCAAGACGTCATCTGATACCCACAGGAGTTCATCAGGCAGGTATGCACCCACAATGCTTCTCAAGGTTGGGGCCAGTGCAGGCTCCTCTCAGGTACAGAGACCCCAGCTCTAATGGGGTGGTGCTCTGAGGACAGGGGGCCAGCCCCAGCCAGTGCAGCCAGGCTACACCACCAGACCTTTTCCTGCAGCACTAGAGAACCTCGGCTCAGCCCAGCCCAGGCCCAGGTGTCAAGTTGAGCCTGGTCACGGGTCACTCTGCCTTGGGTGTTGCAGAGTCCCTGCTGGGCTGTCCTCCAGGGTGCTGGCTACAAGCTCATCCACCTGCCCCTGAAGGGGAGTTTGACCAGTTCTGTGGCTCTGGCAGCCTGTCAGATCCCATCTGCAACCCCCCTCCTGGCTCATGGCTCTGGTGGCCAGCACACCAAGGGCCTTGTTGCTGGCTGGTGACTAAGTACCACTGATGTTGCCCTGCTGCCCACAGCCACCTCCTTCTGGGCAATCTCAGCTTTCTCCTTGCAGGTTTTCTCCATCTCCTTTCCCTAAGAGCAGGACCAGATTTCATGAGCTGACAGTGACTCTTGTACACAATGCAGGAAAGTGCTGTTATCGATACGGTGGCCGGGGCCAGGCCACAGAGAGCAGTCAGACCAGTGAGAGGCGGCTCCCAGTGACCACGAGCCCTCGCCCATCAGTCAGTGCAACTTCTTACTCCTGCAGGGCACGCCCAGGACAAGGTGCTGCGAGGCCTGTCCATAGTGCGACCATCTCCCTCCTGCACTATGCACCCGAAGACAGCACATCTAGACCCTGATTGGTTGGCACCAAGTGGACCTGTCTTACCCCAGGGGCTGCCCTCTGATCCCTGATCCCCAAGACCTCGGCCAGTGTCGGGTGAAATAAACCCTCTGCAGCTGGTCTGGTCCACCGTCCACTCTGGTCAGGAACTACCATACGCCAACCCCTCTGTCCTCTTTCTGAGGGAGAGCTCAGGAGGAGACAGCTGCCCTTCTGTCCGTCCTCAGGACGACATGGTGATGATGACAGTAGTGCCCCTAGAGTCCAGGTTAGCCTCTAAACCAAGCAAGGTGCAGCGGTGACTTCTTGAGGAACCTGGTATGGATGGCTCCACACTCACGTCTTCTCTGTGCTCAGACCTGCCAGGAGAGCTGTCCGAAGGCACAGTTTACACAGGGCTCCCTAGCTGTGCCCCACTTTGATCAGGTGAGTGGCACCAGGGCACTGCCTACATGGAAGCCCTGCTCTGCCCCTCTTGGCAGAGCTCAGACACCTGCCTTCTTTGGGCTGGCAGGCCATAAAGCAGAGCAGCATTCCTGCCCACCAAGTCCCGCCCGCGCCCACATGCTTGGCCTGTGTGCGGAGCTGCCAAGCTGAGAAGCAGGTACGGCCACAGCTCCGAACGCTGCCAACTCACAGCCATGCCACCTGGGCCATGCAGACAACACCCACACTTAGTCACGCCCAGCCTGACACTGGTGACACACTGAGCCCAGGAGACCTGTGTGCTGGGGCAGGTGGCTGGTGTGGACCAACCATGGGCATGGGGGCTGACTCTGAGCCAATCTTGGCTTCACTGCACCTACCCACCCGTCAGTATAGCACAGCAGCCCCCCGACGAGTGTCACCTCTGTCACGTGCAGATGGGCCCCTCATGATCCTTTCACTCAGACTGAGCCAATAGCAGGAGATGAGGGTCTCCTCATGGCCTGGCTCTCCGCATGGCCTGGCTGTGTGGGCATGCTGCAGCTGACCTCATGCCAGGCTGGCCCCCAGGCTGGTGTGGGACCCGTGGCGAGGCACCAGGCTTCTCTTCCTCTTGCCCCGCATGGCTTGTTTAGCAGACAGAGGTGGGGTGCTCAGACCCTGCTCCTGACTGGGGAGCACACTGAGTGAGGAGACGTGAAGGTTCTGGAAACTAGCTTCTGCCCTAGGCTGAGGGACAAGCACAGTGGGCCATCTGTGGCTCAAAGGCACTATCCCTGATAGATATGTCTCCTCAAGCTCCCTGGCCCTCTGTGGTTGGGGTACTTGTTGAGGCAGCCCCTCTTTACCAGCAACAGTGCTCACAGGAAGGACTGGAAGAGGCTGCCCAAGGCAACTCTGTGCCTCACACAGCACGAGTTTGAGGCAGGGCTCAGAGCTGGTCCATTCTTTAAGCCAAAGAACTGGACAGAGGAGTTTGTCCCTTGTCTCCAAGGGCTCTGTACTCTGAACACCTTTCTCTGGGCACTTGGAGAATGACTCAGGGATGGGCCGCAACCACAGTCAAGGGCACATGCCTTGGACAGTGAGTGGGCAGTTCCCAGCTGACCCATAGTCTGGGGGGGGGTAAAAAATGAAGATACATTGTTGAGTGGCTGGCGGCCACTTGCATCCCCACCTGCTGACGCTGCTAAACAAGCCCCAACGACCAGCCCAGGACAGATGGGGGACAGAGGGACAGATGGAGCAGGGGACAGACGGGGGAACCAGAGACACCGGTACCTCAGGGTAAAATCAAAGTGAAAGTTCCTTTTCCTTTTCAGAGAGCCACCAGGAGAGAAGATACAGACACGTTAGGATGCTGTGATGCCTGAGACATCCACTGGGACCTTGACCATGTCCAGGCTGTGTAAGAAGCTAGTGAAGCATCGGGTCCTATGGTCTCAGCTGAGGTGCTGGTCCAGCCACACCCAAAGTCAAGGGGAAGGGTGGGGACCCACAGACCCAACACACTCTGGCAACAGGCCACCAGCTCAGAGCTCACCAACAACTTTTCAAATGGGACAATGCTGCTCTGGAAACAACACACCGCAGATCACGGGCAGGGAAAGGGGGTCTGTCATGGGGGCAAGATAGGGCAAAACATCCTCTTGCTGCAGGGAACACATGTCGTCCAGACAGGGACACTACCTCAGAGGAGCTGTAAATCGTGTCTAAGAAGAGACTGGTGCAGCCTCATGGTGAAGAGAGGCTCTGACCCAGGAGAAGGCAGTGCGGCCTCACGAAGACCATGTCCTGACTGGAGAGGCTCGTGTATCCTCACCTGAACAAAGACACTGAGTTCACCTCCAACTGGCTGCAGTCTAAACCTTTCGGTCAGAAAGGTTTGGGTCACCGCAAGGGAGATCAGACCTCTGGCTTGTGTCCTGATATTTCCTGGGGAAGACAAATGGCTGGCCTATGGGTCAGTGGAGAAAGAGTAATTCAGGACAGACCCTGCCCTCCAAGGCCAGGAAGCCTCCTAAACAGGAGATGCCCACCTGCCTAGGCTGAATTCAGGTGAGACAAATCCAATATAAGTCTACAGAGCTGCACGCCTGGGCCGTTTCTAACGTCCTTCCTTGAACTTCGGATGCATGACAGCAGAATCATTCTGAGAGTGAGGGGAGACCCTCACCACACTCATCTTTGCCCTTAGACAATATACCTTCTGGCTCTAAGTCCAGGATACCTTATTACAGGGCTCTTGGGGTTGCCTGAGGACCCCACTTGCCCTCAATTGGTGATGGGTGGGTTGTTCTTTCAGTCAAAGCCTTAAATGAGAATGGACATAGCACTGACGAGGCTCATCTTGGCCAAAGTGCAGGCCCCTCTGGTCTCCGATGCCCCATGCCCACCTCTGCCTCACCTCTTCTGCTTGTAGGTCAGCATGGCCTCCGCAATGGGCAGCTGGTGGGCACAGTTGGCCCCTGCAATGTACTGAGTGATTCGGGACACGATGTCTGGGGTTTCCTGCACTGCGAGAGACAAATCAGGGCCATGTCAGCCTGGGAATGTTGGGATGAAAAGCATGCTAAAGGGACAGAGCTGTGCTGGAGGGGTGAGGTGTATGCCCAAAGGGCCTGGGAGGCCTGGGGGAAGGTGGGAGGTGAGGGACATATGAGACGAGTGGCCTACGGGTCTGTGGCACAGGCCTAAGACTGGCAGATATGCTGAAGGGCCTGCCCACCTGCTCCACCTGCACCCTGGACCTCCAGCTTGTTGAACAGGTCTCTCCAGGCCAGGTCCTGGAAGAAGTTGTTGTAGCGGTAATCCACTGAGCCCAGGTACCGGGCCACGGGGTGGGAGCCTGCAGGCAGGAAACGTGGACAGTTGTCATCTCAAGATGCTTTCCTTGGGGCCAGCAAGGGGCTCCCCCACCTCTTGGGTGGATGTGGAGGTCTGGATGGACAACCTCTGGGTAGATGCCTGGCACACATGTTTGAGTGTCTGACTGGTGCCCCACAGCACCACTGTCCATGACTGCCCATTGCTCAGCAAAACATGACAGGCCTGGCAGGCTATCCAGGTCAAAGACATGAGAACTGTACTTGCTGTCCACCTGGAGAAGTCTTTCCAGGAAGAACATGCCTTTTACTTAACTGAAATTGTGTAAGTGATAATTGCACAAAATGTTAAAAATAAAGAAACTGTATGTGATGTCAGCACTAACTCAGCCAATCTAGCCATAGGGGACTACCTCTAGGCCTCTGAGCGCCCATGACCGTACTGCGGGGCATCTTTGGGGCTTCTGTTGAACGGTGTGCCCCCAGGCTCTATGGGCCGCCATGACCCTGCTGGGGAGGGATGACCCAGAAGAAGGGATGTCTGAACCACTGTGGTTTTGCTAGAGGGTGTCCCCTGAGTCTCTGATGAGGTAAGCCTCTGAGCTGCGATGACTACAACCTCACTGGAGGGGAGTTCAGACCCTGAAGCACAGGGCGGTTACATGGGCCCAGCCTGCTCACCCAGGGGAATGATGAGAAAACGCATGTAGCCAAGCCAGTCGGGGGTCTTGTGGGACAGCTGCTCCACAAACAGCCGCAGGACAGCACTGAGGTAATGCTGGGCGCCTGCCACTGCGATCTTGACTGGTGTCGGGGGCTGGGAATTGCAGTTGCAGCTACAGTCCAGGGTGGCACAAAGAGAAGACACAGGCAACTCAGGACGGTGGTCTCTGGCCTCTGGCCAGCAGTCCTTTGTGACAGTACGTTGCCCTTGCACTGGGGGACCATTTCACGGATGCCCCCATCCTCTCCCAAGTTCACTGACAGTCAGACTCTCCCACACGTGGGGGTCGAGGGGCCCTGACCAACCCTGGGGCCACTGCAAAACTTACTATCTTTGTATCCGAGAGACGATGGTACTGAAGGCGGCCTGGACGTCCGCGGAGGAGCAGGTGCAGACCACGGGCAGCGTGTGTCGCTGCAGCACATCTGAGAGAAACTGCAGGTAGAGACCTCCGATCAGGTGACCAGGAGTCCACAGGCCCTCGGCCAACGTCCCAGGGGCTGCATGCATTCTGCTCTCTCTAAGCACCCAAGATGGGGGTGGGACATGGAGCTCCTGGGGCTCTTAGCCTGAGAGGTCTTACAGCACCTGCGACAGAGCCCCCAGGCCCCAATACAGGGTGCACAGAAGTCACGGACCCACCTGGCCCTGCCAGTCCGAGGTGTTGACGAGGATGATGTTCTCCGGCAGCCGGTCATCAGAGATCAGAATGTGGTTGAGCTGGTCATACACGGTCTTCCTGGGGATCTGAGTCAGTCTACCATCACACCCCATTCTTTCTCCTACTGTCTTCTACCTCCACCTCCCCTTCCAATGCTCCTGTCTACCTCATCGGCTCCCCTCTCTCCCTCTGTCGGCCCCGCCCACCTCCCCTCCCTCCACTGACACGCCCCACACCCACCCTACCCCTCCAAGGACCCTGTCCACTTCACATCCGGCCCTCCACTGGCCCCACCCACCTCACAAGCCTTCTCCCAGTAGTCCCACCCCTCCCTCCACTGACTCCTCCCTTCAGCCCCTCCCCCCACCTTCCCTTTCTGATAGCCCCATCTTATCTTTTCTAACCCCCTCTCTGCCCAACCTCTCTCCCTCTACCAGCCCCCTACTCTGACTCCTCCCAGTCCTAGCCTGGCCACTCCTGTCCCTCACCAGCCTGCTTTTGTCAGTCCCGCCCTCACTAGCCCCCCACCTCCCAGCCCCTCGTGACCACTCCAGCCTGGCCACTCCCTGGTCCCCTGCCCTGAGCATTCCTGGTCCTGCCTGTTCCCAGACAGCACGCTCCACCACTCCAGGCTCCCACCCTGACCACTCTCAGTCTCACCTCCCCATTGCGGTTCCTGACCCCTCACTCCTCCCCGCTGCGGTCCCTGACACCCCACGCCACCTGCTGCCTAGTCCCCAGCCCTGTCCCTCCATCCCCACACTGCCCGCCCTGCCCGCACCTGTAGCTGGCTCCGGGTGTCTGGGCAGCGCTCACTGTCCAGGCTGTTGGCCCGCTCACTTTGTGGCCGTGCTGGCTGCCGCTCCTTCAGGGATGTGCTCCGGCCTCTGCGACCCGCCTGCTTCCCCTCAGACCTGTGGGAGGGGATGTGGTAAGGGTGGGGCAGGGCAAAGGCGAGAGTGGCAATGGTGGAGGTGAGAGACCTGAAGGGGCCATCTGAGGGCTCGCTCACTGCCTCTCCAGTCCGAGGTTCACACTGGCACCCCACAGCTGGACTCAAGCTCAACTCAGTTTGTGCCCTGGGGCTGATTCAGCACGTGTGGAATTGAGAGAAGACAGTGGTGTTGCCCTAGGGCAGGGCAAGTGGACAGCACAAGAGCCCAGAAAGCAAGTACACTTCTCCCACTCGCCTCCTCCAGGCCATCCGCCACCAGTAACACTGCTGGAGCAGGGTCCTCTCAGGCCCAGAACCAAACAGCTGCCCCTCACCCCAGGCCAGAGTCTCCCTGAGGCCCAGGTGCCACCTCCCCTCATCCCCAGTCACCTCTCACTCACCTGGTAGATGGGATGATGAGAGACTCTGTCTTGGTGATCTTCCCGCTTGGCGGCAGCCGCTCAGTGAACACATCCAAGGTGGAGACTTCAGCTTCAGGGCTGTCCTGGGGTGGGCCGGGCTGTTCTCGCACTGGGGTGCCCTGGGGAAGATGATGATTAGGGTCCCCCCTGAGGCACAGCCATGGATACAGCCCCATGTCAGGGGACAAGCCTGAGCTGTGTCTGCCTGGAGACTGAGCATCCAGGGTGCCCCAGCCCACCCCAGAATGCAGGCTGCACAGCAGGTGCTCAGGGCCAAGGTGGGGTTAGGGGAGTACCTGGCCAGCTGCCTGCTAGTAGGGGGCACTTACGTGGGCTGCTGGGTCAGGGATGGGCTCACTCAACTGCCGGCCAGTCAGAGGCCGCATTTTCTCTGGTGCCTCGGCCTACAGGAGGAGAGCGTAAGTGTGGGACCCATGTGGACAGAGGGGTGCTGGAGATGGGGGACAGGATGTCAGGGATGTGGAGGGTGACCTCAGGAGGCCTGGGCCTGCCGTACCCCATCCACACCACCACTCCTGGGAACGTCCCCCATCTTCCTAATGGGGTCCTCCAGTGCTTTCTACTTACATGGAGCTCTGCCCCTCCCTCCACTCTCAGGTCCCTGTCCCCCACTCACGGGGCTGGGCGGCCCCCTCTGGCTCCGAGCACTGTGGATGCTGCCGATCTCTGTCTGTGAGCTGGAGTGGGATAAGCCTTCAAAGTACGGCCTGAGGGGACAAAAAGGCTAGTCGAGGACCCGTGTGCAGCCCTGGCCCCAGGCAGAGCACAGGAAGCTGGGGACCCTCCATTCTAGGCCCACTTTGCATCCGACTCCTACTGCCTCGTGGCAGGGGTCAACAGCTCACACCCAGCCCTGAAGGAGGCGGCTTGTGGCGTGATGAGCCCTCCATCTGCGGAGTGACCACAGACCATTAGATGAGACCCAGGCCGAGTCAAGCCATGCTCAGGGGTGATGGGAATGAGTGGCTGAGGGCTGCACGGTATCCAGACACCTCAGTATCTAGTCTCAGCTGTGGGGACAAGTCACATGAGGGAGGGTCACTGTGCACGGGGGTGGCATCCTCACTTGGCTTGAGGCCACCACTTCTTCCTGGGCTTGGGTCTCACTGTGCTGGTCTCCAGCAACATGGCCGAGGCAGTGGACTCTCCCTTGGCTCTCTATAGGAACTATCTGGATGGCTGAGGCTGAAGGGAGACCAGGGTCTGGCGTGAAGGGGACAGGCCCCTATTGTGACACAGATAGGCATGAGCCACGGAGTTATGATGGCTGCGGCCAGCAAGTCCCATCCCAGGGCCACCAGCTGAGAGCCAGTTGCACTGTGGGCTGTGGCCCCGTGTTGGGGGCTCGAGTCACAACCTCCCGCTCCATCACACTCATTCTTGACAGTCTAGGCAGGTCTTCACACGTCCCTCCTTGGGGTGGGGACGGCCATCAGGCCTGCAAAGAGCCTCTGCTCCCGCCCCCCTCAGCAGGGCTCTCCTCCACTGGACACACCCCTTGCCATCTTCCACCAGCCTCGCCCTTCAGGTTCACCTCTGCCTTTTCCCACTCACAGCTTCCCACAGGCCCCCAAGGGGACAGGTCCTGCCAGCTCACTAGTCCTCATGTACATCTGTGCTGTTCTTAAGACCCCAGCTGTCCTGTGTCTTCAGTCTCCGCCCTACAGCTCCCCACATGCTCAGTTTAGGTTCGCTGGCTGCTTTCCATGCTCCACCTGACTGACCGCCCTACCCAGCACCCAGCCTTTCCCAACGTCCTTGCTCCCCATGTGGGGAAGCTCTAGGTACAGTCCAACCAGCACCCCTGGACTGAAGGCCCACTGCAGACAGCTGGCCTGGCCACAGGCACCTTCTAAGGCTCAAAGGCAGGTGGCCCTTGTCCAGGACCCGAGCTGGTTGGATCCAAGAGGTAGACTCCTTGGACCTTGACGGGCTTCTCGAGGCCTCAGGATTCCTTCCTGGGATGGCACCCCAGCCTGTGCCCTGCCACTGGACGTCGCTCACCTGAGCTTGGGCTTGGGGGTGCTCAGGACGCTGTCATCATCTTCCATGTCAGGACCACTGTCGCTGGGGTTCTCTATGTCCAGGGTGTCGTACAAGAGGTCCAGGTCCTCTTCCACCTCTGGGACATGCTCAGTCGGGTCCTGCTCCGAGTCTAGCACCTGGGTGGGCCAGATGGTGTGAGTGTGGGGCAGACAGGCTGGGTGGCCTTCCCAGGGCCTCCACTGGGACCTGAGCTGGACCACAGCACAAGACACTGTGCTGCCTGCATGTCCCAACACCACAGCAACCTATTACTTAACCTGGGATCATTTCCTGAGGGTCCCTGACACATGTGGTCCGATGGACGTTGTCACACAAGGCAGTGTCTTCTCACCTGCACATGAGTTTTGACAAATAAATTCAGCTGTTACAACAGGAAGGTTTTCTTCAGTGATGAAAAGCTGTTGGACTGGTCAAAGGTTCTCCTCATGGGCAACATGATGAAGTGTCCTTCCTTGCTGCACTGAGGTGCATACTGCACTGTTTTCACGGGCTGAAGTATTCGGGGGTTCTGTCACCTGCAGACAACTAAAGTGCTCAGATCCTCTGACAGACATCACATGAGGATCCCACAGCAGCTTGAGGGAGGCTGCGGTCCCCGTGTGGTTCTATGGCTTCAGCACTGAGATAATGTTCACCTACCAGGCAGACTTAAGGAATTATTTCCTCTTATTCTGGGGGATGTTTTGGAAGGACTGGTGTTAATTCTTTAACTGCTTGGTAGTGAAGCCTCCTGGTCCTGAATTGGGAACTTTTTGAATCTAATTGAATCTCCTTTGTAATTTTCGGCTCAGAGTCTCCATGAAAGTCCGTTTTGGTGTTTCTTTCTTAGCTAGTCCATGTCTTCCAGGCTCTCCAGTTGGCCACCTGCTGTTGCCCACAGCCGCCCCAATCATCTCACTTCCTAAGGGACACAGTAATGTCTTCACTGCTTTTGCTTCTTTCTCTTGATCAGTCTAACCAAAGGCTTGTAAACTCTATTGATCTTTTCAAAGAAACACTTTTTTGTTTCTGTGATTTCTTAATTATGTTGTTTTGGGTTTGGTTTTTTTTTTTAATCTCTGTTCTAGTATTTATAAGTTCCCTAACAGTAGACTTTCTCATTGCAATACATCTTTTAATTTCCTGGCTGCAAGTGCGAAGAGTGTTGCCTGTGGAGCCAAGCTAACTAAAGCTGTTAACAATCTCAGTCTCTTCACCATCTATCCTGATGCTGCCAATTGTCCCAGTGGTGAGAATCTTTGTTTTCTTGATGTTGAGCTTCAATCCATATTGAAGGCTGAAGTCCTTGACCTTCTGCAGCAAGTGCTTCAGGTGCTCCTCAGTTTCAGCAAGCAGGGCTGTGTCATCTGCATAATGTAGATTGTTGATGAGTCTTCCTCCAATCCTGATGCCAAACTTCTCCTCATAGAGTTCAGCCTCCTAGATAATCTGTTCTGCATACAGATTGAAAAGGTATGGAGACAGGACACATCCCTGGCGTACGCCCTTCCCAATTTTGAACCATGCAGTGTTTCCTCGCTCTGTTCTGATGACTGCCTCTTGGTCCAAGTATAGGTTTAGCATAAGCATGATCAAGTGTTCTGGGATTCCCATTCTTCTCAGAGTCAATCACGGTTTGTGGTGATCCACACGGTCAAATTCCTTTGCATAACCAATGAAACACAAGACATTCCTCTGGTATTCCCTAATTTCAGCTAAGATCCATCTAACATTAGCTACAATATCCCTAATACCACAACCCCTAGCCTGCACTTCTGGTAGTTCTCTGTTGATGTGTGGTTCCAGTCGTTTTTGGATAATCTTCAGCAGATTCTTAGCAATCACTTGCTATGCATCAGAAAGCTGGACAATGATTAGGGATGACAGGAGGAGAATTGATGCCTTTGAGCTGTGATGTTGGAGAAGAGTATTGAGTATAACATGACTGCTAGGAGAACAAACAAGTTCGTCCTGGAGATGGTGAGACCAGGCTGCTCCTTGGAGGCAAGGATTCTGAAGCTTCGTCTGACATACTTTGGACATGTTGTAAGGAGGAACCAGTCCTTGGAGAGGGATGTCATGCTTGGGAGGGTGGAGGGAGACAAAATAGAAGAGGAAGATCCTCTATGAGGTAGATTGATTCAGTGACTGGGGTAATGGGACAGTGAGATTGGCACAGGATAGAGCAGGGTTTCGGGCTGTTGTACACAGGGTCATTATGAGTCAGAGTTAGTTCTGACTCGATGGCACATAACAACAACATTGTTAGGTTCAAGTAAGTTTATAATTGTGTTATCATCCTGTTGGATTGAACCTACTGCCAACACAAAATGTCCTTCATTGTCTCCTGAAAACCTCTGACTCAGGCTATTTTGCCTGAAAGTAACAGTCTCAGTCCAGTTCTCTTGTGGTCTGGAATCTCTCAATTTGCATGGAATATAATTTACTCTTTTTCTTTTGCTTTCTTTCTCTTTGTGTCTTTGTATCTAAAGTGACTCTCTTTTTGGTGGACAGAGGTAGATCATGTCTGTTTTTGTTTTAAAATATTCATTCTGAAATACTGTACTATCATCCACTTACATATAAAGTATGGCTGATAAGCATTTACTTCTGCCATATAGTTGTTTTTACTATTTTTTGCATTTTCTGTTCCTTAGTTTCTCCACGCTTTTTTTCTATTAACTTTTTGTAGTGTACCATTTCTAGTGCCTTCTTTCTTTTCATTCCTCATATATCACTGATTTATTTTGTTGTTGGGAGGAGCCTGAGTGGCTGTCAAGTCTCAGTGTGTACTGCCGGACTCTGCACGGCTCCCACAGCTTTACCACGTTGCAGCATTGTGCTAATCCATCTCTCTGACAGTCTTCTCCTTCCTGACCCTGGACGTTTCCAAGTACTGGTCACTGCTGATAACACACCTGGAGGATGTGGGACAAATTCTTGCCATCCTTGCCCTAAACAGTACAAGAATATTCTACACTCTTTACCCTTTTTTATTCATGGTCCAAGTTTCAGATACATAAAAGACAACTGGCGAGCTCTGGTGGCCTAGTGGCAAGAAGCTGCACTGCAATCCCAGAGGAGAATGGTTTGAATCCACCAGATGCTCTGCTGGAGAAGGAGGGACAATCTCCTCCTGTACCAGTCAGATCTGATTTGATGGCATGCGCCAGCATACGCACACACTAATTAATAATAATAATAATAACAATAATAATACCTCAACTAAAAACACCATGGCTTGGGTCATCCTCCCTTAGTTTGTAAACTAACAGCCTTGCTTTCCAGCACTTTAAAGAAGACCTCAACTGCAGATCAGCTCAATGCAATACCTCTTTTTAGTTCTTGGCTGGTGTTCCCACAGGTGTTCATTGTGGACCCAAGTAAAATTAATTCTTGATGGCCTAAGGTGCTGGGCAGGAGACGAAGATGTTGGCTTCGTTGTTGGCTCCCGGGGGCTTAGTCCTGCTTTGGGACTCGGCAGAGTGGGAAGGGCACAGTCTCTTGAAGGCACTTATCAGGAAATCTGCACTCTGAGTGGTTTTACCATGATCTCTTCAGAGACCCCTTCAATTAGTCAGAGACTGGAGAGACCCTTCCTGGGGGAGCCGTGGGTACACTGAGCAACCTGTGCCGGAAGAAGCGTCCTGGTCCTGTTACCACTGTTCTCGATTCACTGAGCTGCTGCTGCTTCACCTCCCCTGCACACTCTACATTGTCAGGACTCTGCTATGAGACCAGCTCCCCAGTGGAGCAGGTGCAGGTGCTGGGCCTGCTGCATGAAGAGCTTCATGGCCCAGGCCCCATGGGGGCACGGAGCAGTCTTACACAGATAGAGGGGACCTGGGTGGCATGATGGGTCAGACCTCAGCACACATCATTTTCCAGAGGCCACATCAATGTCCAACCCATCAGACTCAGTGGTTCTCCATCCAGCCCGACTACAGCCTGAATCTCCAAAATGTGCCTCCCTTAGAATCCCAACCCCAGCCAGACCTTCCTGCTACCCAGGTGGCTCCTATAGCTCGTTTAACCTCCAACCTTCACCTGTCCAAGAAAGAAAAAGAAGCCAAAGATAAGCTGACCCTGCCCTTCTATTTCAGCACTGAAAACCAGCACACCGTCTTGCACCCTGGACAGCCCACCAGTCAAATCTTCTACGAGTCAGACACTTAACCCTGACTTGGACCAAGAAGATCACAATGATGACCGTGATTTTTTTTTCTGGAAAATGGAAATTTATTAATAATAAATGATTGGAAGACTGGAAAAAAAATAATCAGAGGCCAAAATAAACCTGATCTTGGATAACCTGTGCCTAATAGGATTACAGCAAGTTGGTCCTGCAGTCACTCCCAGACAAATCATGACACTTTTCCAACATTAGCAGCTGAACGGATGTCATTCTATTTGCCTCCCGCTTCTTCCATCCAGAATCACTGATCTCCTCTGGGGCTGATAAAAACAGCTGGTTGAAGTCTCTAGTCTCTGGCCATTCTTAGGGATGGTCATTTTATTCCTAAGTGTCACCCCTTCTGGTGTGACCCA